AATACAAACTTTAAAAAGTGAACTTTTTATAGCATCCACACTGGCAAGGTTGGGCGCGCAGGGAGTGTACCCAAAGCGTGACTTTTGCTGTCATTCTGTTGAAATGTCTCATCGGGGAGGGGTCTGTGGGTCAGGGTCGTCCGAGGAGGAAGCAGATGAATGGATGTGTGAACTTTTATTTAAGATTTAAGTTTTTATTTCAAAGGTCCTCAAGGCTCAGCAGCAGAAGCATAAATATTAGCTACTGTTAAGAAAGCTTATGATAAAGTTGATCTAAAATCTTTGATTACGAAGTGAAATTAAATATTTGAGTGCAATCACGTTTCAGTGTGGTTATAATTCCTCACTTCACCATCTGTGTCACAGTTTCCCATCTCCAAAATGAGCGTACGCCTGGGTCAAAGCTGGCGTGAGGCATCGCACATTTTCACGTCAAGTTTGGATTTTATACATCACAACCTTGGCGTGAAAAGTGGCGTACGCAAGTTTCTGGGTTCGTATTTTGCCTATGCAAGTTTTATAAATCCGACCCCTGGTGCTGCAGAGATATCTTTATATTCTGTTTGGGTCAGATTTTTCAGCCCATTTCTGAACTATTACGTCAAAATATCTGTGACGGAAAAGATATACAGGGATTAGACAAAAAAACAGAAACACCTGTCATTTTAGTGTGGGAGGTTTCATGGCTAAATTGGACCAGCCTGATGGCCAATCTTCATTAATTGCACATTGCACCAGTAAGAGCAGAGTGTGAAAGTTCAATTAGCAGGGTAAAAGCACAGTTTTGCTCAAAATATTACAATGCACACAACATTATGGGTGACATACCAGAGTTCAAAAGAGGACAAATTGTTGGTGCACGTCTTGCTGGAGCATCTGTGACCAAGACAGTAAGTCTTTGTGATGTATCAAGAGCCACGGTATCCAGGATAATGTCAGCATACCACCAAGAAGGACGATCCACATCCAGCAGGATTAACTGTGGACGCAAGAGGAATCTGTCTGAAAGAGATGTTATGGTCTAAAACCAGGTGTTTCAGTTTCATTGTCTAACCCCTGTAAAAGGTCTGGACTTACCAACTACAATTTCCTTGTCTCAATTCTCCTCTGTTTTGGGTTCTGGGTCAGACTCTGGTTCTGGGTCAGACTCTGGCTCTGGGTCAGACTCTGGCTCTGGGTCAGACTCTGGCTCTGGGACAGACTCTGGCTCTGGGTCAGACTCTGGCTCTGGGTCAGACTCTGGCTCCAACATGTACAGTTGGATGGACAAGTCTTCTGTTGACTTCTTTTAATTAAATTTTAAAGAAAACATTCTGCAAGGTAGAAAACATAACCCCCTCTCGCAAACAGGATTGGACCGGTCTAGAAGCAGGAGGGGGCGGGGCTTGAAGCATCTTAAAGGAACAGTAACAAAACCAGCTGCTTTGAGGCACATAGAGAAGTGGTGAAAGATAGGCTGTTGATCTGCTGCAGATCTAGTTTTCGCTTCAACCAGAGCGGCTGCAGTTAGGGCTCGGGTTTCCTGCTGACTGAGGCTGAAATGCTGTCAGAAAGGGGTCGACTTTAGTCAGAATGGGTTTCTTTGAAATATGTTTTGTTTTGCCAGGGTCTTGTTTCTGAAAATTGATGCTCCAACAATAAAGGCAGTTACTGGTCAGGCTTTAGTCACATATTTTGCAGTAAATGTAGTGTGTCACTTTGATTAACCTTTTCATGAGCACTTGGGTCCATGGCTGAGCGTAACATTCTCTGTGATGCTTGATCATGATTGAACATGATACCCAGGGGACGCGAATAAATGTATAGGTACCTCTACAGAGAGTTGAGGATATTTTGGCTACATTTGTGTATTTTTTTCTTTATTTGTTTTAATACAAAACTCTATTCCTCTTCATCTTGTCAAACATATCTAGCGATATTAAGCTTGTATTTAAAGAGGATTTCAACCACATTTAATACATACATCATGTCTGGTTGTTCAGGGCCTCGGATTGGTTTTGACCTTTAGAAGGGGCCCTTTGATGGGCCAAAAAAAGTGAAATGTTTGACYCATCAGTTCAACCCAGGAAATGAATTAGTCACACTGAACAGATTTGTAGTCTCACATGTGACTAAACTGGTTGCACTCTGCAGCCCTGAGATAAGTGATGCATTCATTATCTCATATTTTTGCCTTGATCCTCCCTCCTTTAACGGCCAGATCTTCCAGAGGAATGGTGCGGTGGTGTGTTTTGACCGCAGCAGCGAGGAGGACTGTAACTGGATGATGCTGGTGCGACCTGCCACTCATCACACACACCAGAATCTGACGGCTTATCAGCAGGACGACGACGTTTACTTCAACACCTCCCAGGTATCTGTGTCGGCTCTGCGACTGGCTGCGCAGCTCGCACATTTCTAACAGGCGGGTGCATTCTGGTTTCTGAATGCTGACCTGTGCTGCTCTGTTCCCAGGATGTGCTGCCAGGAACAGAGCTGAGGGTCTGGTATGGAGCGTTCTATGCTAAGAAGATGGAGAAACCCCTGCTAAAGCCTCCTCTTCAACCCCCACTGCCTCCTCCAGGTAAGGTGACTGTGACATCACAGCTCTGACTCTGTGGCAGAGAGTTAACACACTTTCTTGTTCTGTCTTTTAAACAGATGCTAACATAAAGAGTCTGGAGGAAAGTGAAGCCTACGTGCCCCAGGCAGAAGATAACCATGCAGGTAGGTTCATTCACATCATGGAAGTCAGAACAACTGAGAAGTCATGTCTTGTGGAAGGGTTCAGTTGTGGGCTGTTGTTGTCCTGCAGTGTAGAGCCCTGCAGCTTGGCTGTGTGCTCTGATGCTTCCATGTTATTTCTGCTGATTACAGACCTCACTTTGGATTACGACTGTGAGGTGAAGGCAGCAGCCGACCCACTTCTACCCCAGGAGAGCCTGGGGCATCAGGGGGCACCTGCAGCTCAGCTTGTCCGCAAAAGAGGGCACGGCAGAGGGAGGAGGGCCAGGGGGCGCAGGCTTGGAGCTGCTGCTGCCAGAAACAAACACAAAGGTAAGAAACACCGAGTCAGACTTGTTAAAAAGCATCTTTTCTCTTGTATCAAGACAGAGTTCCTGCAGATCCCTAGAAAGTCTTAAATAGGGCTGCAACAACGAATTGATAAAATCGATTAAAGGAAGTCGCTCTCTTCCTGCAGTACYGAATGCTACGACAGGGTTTCCCCTACATGTAATTGATCGTGGCGCACCGCCACGGCTAAATAAAAGCTGCCACACATTCGGAATGAAGTGGTTTTTTTTTTTTAAACAATATAAGACGGGTTGACACAATCATGTCCGAGACAACCTATTTTCGTTTCGGACAACCAGATCCCGCCTCCCGGTTGTCTGGTGGACAACCAAGAAAAAAAGACCTCGATTAAAGTTTTCCTCTGTGGGCGTTCGTCATTGTAAAAATGAACGAGAGGAAAAACGTTAAAGCCGTCCATCTAGGGACGTCTACCGTCTGACGGTTTTTTCATTTTACCCAATCAGAACAGAACAGGGCGGGTCGTACCGTCTGACTGAAAGCACTGCCTTTTTCCTTTCTCTATGGATCCGGGGTCAGTTTCCCTCAGCTCAGGTGAACACCTCTCGGGAAAGCCCTCAACGTTTCCTGGACTATTTTCCACCGAGGACTACATCGTATTTTATATATATTATATTTCTAAAAACACCTCGCAGCATTTCCACTGCAACATTGTGTGTTCACGAGCACAACAAAACCACGACAGATCACCTGACTGGTTTTAAAGCAAGGGGCAGCGACTTTGAGCAGCTGAACCTGTCCACCTGCAGCGCGGCTCCGACCTGCCCGGGACTTCAGAGTCCACATGTCAACCCCTTCAGACAGTTACTTGTATAATGAGCATTAAGGTTGCATATACAGCAAATTGGGGTTAAGACCCCACTGTGGGTCCTAAAACTCCAAATTTTGGGTTGTTAGAGGATTTCCAGAAATTAAATTAAGTTTAAAACTGACTGCTAAGAACGTTTCTGCTATAGTTAGATACGGATTAAAACAGTTMGTGTATTAGCAATATTTGAATACTTCAACCAAAAATACTTTGATTCATGAGTTTCTGCCAGTTTGTAATTTTTTTTGTCATTTGTGTTTATTATGAAATTGGTCTTAAATTTAATTTCACTTGGCATTAAAAAGTCTTAAAAAGTGCTAAACTTAACTTTCTTTATTCTATAGGAACCCTGCAAGAGAGGAGGGTTTTCAATTTTGTTCTCTGAAGTTCGTGATTGAGAAAGAAAACTCATACCATCTGTTTAATGAGAGTCTATATTAGGCAGAGGAGTTCTCAGGCCCTACAGTTTTAATACAGCTGGATATCCTGGCCAATTCTCCAAATCAATACAATTTATAAGGTTCTGAAATGATTAATTTCGATTTGATCTGCTCTTAATAAAAATGGTTCAACTGTGTTGCAGAATACAAATTCACTTTATTTTTTTCTCCACCATAAACAGGTTCTATTTTGTGTAAGCTCCGCCCTCTAAGGTTATCACTGATGGGTATTCCTCGCGCGCATTCTGAAGAATCAATAGTCTACGCCCACATGCTGTGGGCCCTACTTCCGGTCCGCATATAAGCCAGCCGGACCGGTGCTCTGCTCCCTCATTTTCTTCAGCTACGTGACCTATACTACGCCTGACAATGCCCAGCCAGACGAAGATTTGCCCCGCCTGCGGCACCAGATACATGCTGGCCACCGACCTGCATGTGGTGTGTGAAGGATGCCTTGGCGCCGACCACGCCAACCAGGCCCTCACGGCGGACGTCGCGTGCCGAGCATACAGGAAGCTGTCGGTGAAGGAAAGGCAGCGGCAGGCTGATTTCTTCACTGTCATGGATGAGGACATCGAGACCCTCAAGTCTATCCCACTCGACCAACTCATCAACTTTGGACTGGAGTCGGAGGACTCCGCTTCAGAGGGCGAAGGCGACAGCGACGGTCCGGTTCACCCCTCCCAGTCGGTAAGGCCGGATTTGGGCCCCTGAGGGGAAGAGGAGCTGGCCAGGGAGCTGGGTCTTCCCCGCTCCTCCTTCACGCCACTTTCATCCATCGGGGCCCTCGTGAGTGCCCTCATTCAGTGGGCAGCGGATGCCAGAGGACTGGTGGTTCCTGAGATTCTTGCCCCCGTCCCCCACCGAATGAGCTGGCGGGTCAGTTCGCTTCGCCAGTCGCCGGGTGGCGATCTGGCCACAATTCCCTGTGGTCCAGTCCGGTCTCACATCTGCCAACAGCGACCCCACCAAGTTGAGAGCTCCGGTCTCGTCCTATGCAGACGTGACAAAATTGATGGGGATGACTGACTCAGGTTTTCCACCGTTTCCAGAAATGGAACCCGCACTTTCCTCTGTCTTRGGTGTCGAAGCAGTACAGTCTGCTGGATGGCGGCCCTTCCTTCACAACGCAGCAGACAAAGAGATCATCAACTGGACCGACCGGTCCCACGAGTGTGCAGCGCAGACCGGCGCTGCAACATCGCTCTTTTGACCTTTAACATCTCAAAGAGAGCGGCGGAGAGCGAGGCACAGCAGGAGGAGAAGATGGAGCTCTGCGCAGCTGCCAACACAATCCTGAATCGCTGTGCCGCCCAAGCAGTCTGTGTGTCCCGCATCAGGGCATGGGCCACCCTACTGCAGAGGCAGATGTGGCTGCGTCTCGCTCCTTCCCTATCGGCAGACATGCGGAAGCAGATGCTMGAGGGTCTCGTCGTTCCAGACGGTCTCTTCGGGCCACAGTACCAGCGTCTGTTGGAGCACCTCAAAACTACGTAGTCTGTACAGGAGCAGTTCCGTCAGCAGTCATGCTCCAGACCATCTCATTCACAGGCCTCTTCGTCCGGTTCCGGGTGGAATCGTCAGGCCCAGAGGCAGCTGACTTGACGCCCTTGTTGATGTTGTAACTGATGCTTGTGTGAATAAAAATAAACATCTTCCCCTAAAGGGCAAATTCCTCTCACAAGTGTCCAGTTCAGTCAGGTCTCAGGTTTCTGCCTGTTTCACACATATTTCCCCCACTCTGGGTAAGGCTAAGTCCGCTAGTCTTGTGCCAGCCGGCCTCTGGTTTTTACCAAAAGCACAACACTTTCCTCTTCCACAGTCTCACATTCTGTGGTTCACTCTGCCACCTTGCGGCTTGCGAACGCACACACCTTCTTTTCTTTGTCTTGCTGGCAAACGGCGGACGTAAGAGAAGACAATCAACTCTCTTCATCCCACCGGCGGACATAAGAGAAGACAGTCAACTCTCTTCATCCCGCCGGTGGACGTAAGAGAAGACAGTCAGCATGAGCCACGTCACAAGCAGGGGCGTGTCATTTCCGCTCCGTTCCAGCCTGAATCCACCAATCACAGCAATGCAATGAATGCTGTGTTTGGCTCCACTGAAACTAGCTTGGACCCGTGCTCACGAACGATCCCGGAGGCAGCCCCTCCTGGGTCTCGCTCAAACTAACTGCACGCAGGGCTCCCCGGAGCTCCTGCGCAGCCCTTTRGAGCACAGCCTCCCATGGGTCACACGAGAGAGCTTGACGGCAGCGAAGGCTCTGAATGTATCGGTTGCTAAGACAACCGCTCAACAACCAGCGCCTGTGTGAGCTCTCTCAGAGCTCAGCGCGGTCTGGGAACACATTTGTCCCATGGACAAGTGGATGAAACGCTTGATAAAAACGGGTTACAGGCTACAGTTCGCAACCACGCCTCCCAGGTTCAGCGGGATCCTAGAGACCTGCCTGTCGTCTCCTCAACAGGATCTGGCTCTTCAAGCAGAGCTTCAGGAACTCCTGAACAAGGAAGTTATTTCCAAGGTTCCCAGTGGGGAGGAATACAAGGGTTTCTATTCTCGGTATTTCCTCGTTCCCAAGAAAACAGGTGCTATGAGACAGATTCTGGATCTCTCATTTTTCAACCAGTTAATACTGAAAAGACCTTTTCACATGTTAACAACTAAAAAGATGCTGACGTGTTCAGAAAGGCGATTGGTTCACATCTGTCAACCTGAAAGCCACGTATTTTCATGTCCCGATCATCCCGGCACACAGAAATACCTGCGGTATCTGTCGCGGTATTTTGTATCTACCAGTACAACCGGCTTCCTTTCGGTTACGCACTGGCGCCATGCACTTTATCCAAGTGTGTTGAGATGGCACTGCAGCCTCTGCGCTCAGTGGGAATGAAAAAATCCTGTTTTATCTGGACGATTTGCTTCTTCTGGCCCCATCCAGACAGGAAGCAGCATCACAAACAGAGAAGCTGTTGACACATCTAAGGACACTGGGCTTCTCCATAAACTGGGAAAAGAGTTCTCTCGTTCAGACCCAACTCATCCCATATCTGGGTGTGGATCTGAACTCAGTTACAATGACAGCTCGTCTGTCTCAACCCAGAAAAAGGGACCTGCTGTCATTGCTAGCTCATGTCAGGCCCCACAGGTCGGTAACAGCCCTAACCATAATGCTCCTCTTGGGCATGATGACAGCGGCCCATGCAGTGTTTCCGCTCGGGCTGTTACACACAAGACATTTGCAGCAGTGTTCTCCCGGCTGAAAATTGATCCGATACACCACAAGTGCAGGATCGTATCGATCCCCTCCTCAGTGGAGGCGGATCTAAGCCATTGGAGAAAGCCACACACAATATCAGTAGGAGTCCCTCTGAGCAGAGCAACAAATCACGTGTTGGTCTTCACGGACGCGTCACTGTCAGGTGGGGGGGACATGTCTGTCCTAGACTATGGGAGACGGCTGGTCTTTCCACCCTGTTCCCCACAGATATGTTCTGGAACTCCTGACGGTGTGGAAAGTGCTGGTGCATTTCACTCATCTGGTCCAGGACCAACATATTCTGGTCCATACGGACAACAGAGTGGCAGCGGCTTACATCAACCGCCAGTGGTGGGTGCTCTCCCAGCAGTTGCTGGACACAGCCAGAGAGCTTCTCCTCTGGGCACACACCCACTTGCGCTCAATCTGAGTGATCTACATTCTGGGTGTGCT